GTCCCAATTGTCTTTTTTTAAGAAAGTAAAATCTTCTCGGGGGTTCCAACTGTTTTTTTTTTTTTTGATATAAAACCTTCTCTGGGGCCCTAAATGTATTTTTTTAATGTGAAACCTTCTCAGGAGTCCTAACTGTTTTTTTTTCAAAATGTAAAACCTTCTCGGAAAGGCGAAACGTTTCTTTTTTAAAACTGTAAAACCTTCTCGGGGATCCCAACGGTCTCTTTTAACAATGTAAAACCTTCTCAGGGGCCCCAAATCTATTTTTTTAAGAATGTGAAATCTTCTCGGGGGTCCCAGTTGTCTTTTTTAAAAAAGTAAAATCTTCTCGGGGGTTCCAACTGTTTTTTTTTTTTTTTAATATAACACCTTCTCTGGGGCCCCAAATGTATTTTTTTAAGATGAAACCTTCTCAGGGGTCCTAACTAATTTTCATTAGATGAATACCTAAATAATAATTTTAATGACCTGGTGTTACTATCTAGTGGTGCTTAATTTATTATATAGTAGATCATATATATTTATAGAGTTAATTCTAATTTGTTTCTTTTAAAAATTGTTATTTATTTTTATAAAATTATGTTCGATGTGTTTACTATCTTCTTCTGACGCGTGTAAAAATTTTTTATTAGCACAAATAAAGATTTATTATTATTATTATTATTAACTGTTTTTTTTTCCAAAATGTAAAACCTTCTCGGGAGCGCGAAACGTTTCTTTTTTAAAAATGTAAAACCTTCTCGGGGGTCCCTAGGGGTCTCTTTTAACAATGTAAAACCTTCTCAGGGGCCCCAAATGTATTTTTTTAAGAATGTGAAACCTTCTCGGAGGTCCCAGTTGTCTTTTTTGAAAAAAGTAAAATCTTCTCGGGGGTTCCAACTGTTTTTTTTTTTAATATAAAACCTTCTCTGGGGCCCCAAATGTATTTTTTTAAGATGAAACCTTCTCAGGGGTCCTAACTGTTTTTTTTTTGCAAAATGTAAAACCTTCTCGAGAGCGCGAAACGTTTCTTTTTTAAAAATGTAAAACCTTCTCGGGGGTCCCAGTTGTCTTTTTTTAAAAAAGTAAAATCTTCTCGGGGGTTCCAACTGTTTTTTTTTAATATAAAACCTTCTCTGGGGCCCCAAATGTATTTTTTTAATGTGAAACCTTCTCAGGAGTCCTAACTGTTTTTTTTTTCAAAATGTAAAACCTTCTCGGGAGCGCGAAACGTTTCTTTTTTAAAAATGTAAAACCTTCTCGGGGGTATCAACGGTCTCTTTTAACAATGTAAAACCTTCTCAGGGGCCCCAAATGTATTTTTTTAAGAATGTGAAACCTTCTCGGAGGTCCCAGTTGTCTTTTTTGAAAAAAGTAAAATCTTCTCGGGGGTTCCAACTGTTTTTTTTTTTTTAATATAAAACCTTCTCTGGGGCCCCAAATGTATTTTTTTAAGATGAAACCTTCTCAGGGGTCCTAACTGTTTTTTTTTGCAAAATGTAAAACCTTCTCGAGAGCGCGAAACGTTTCTTTTTTAAAAATGTGAAACCTTCTCGGGGGTCCCAGTTGTCTTTTTTTAAAAAAGTAAAATCTTCTCGGGGGTTCCAACTGTTTTTTTTTAATATAAAACCTTTTCTGGGGCCCCAAATGTATTTTTTTAATGTGAAACCTTCTCAGGAGTCCTAACTGTTTTTTTTTCAAAATGTAAAACCTTCTCGGGAGCGCGAAACGTTTCTTTTTTAAAAATGTAAAACCTTCTCGGGGGTACCAACGGTCTCTTTTAACAATGTAAAACCTTCTCAGGGACCCCAAATGTATTTTTTTAAGAATGTGAAACCTTCTCGGGGATCCCAGTTGTCTTTTTTAAAAAAGTAAAATCTTCTCGGGGTTCCAACTGTTTTTTTTTATATAAAACCTTCTCTGGGGCCCCAAATGCATTTTTTTAATATGAAACCTTCTCAGGGGTCCTAACTGTTTTTTTTTTTCAAAATGTAAAACCTTCTCGGGAGCGCGAAACGTTTCTTTTTAAAAATGTAAAACCTTCTCGAGGGTCCCAACGGTCTCTTTTAACAATGTAAAACCTTCTCAGGGGCCCCAAATGTATTTTTTTAAGAATGTGAAACCTTCTCGGGGGTCCCAGTTGTCTTTTTTGAAAAAAGTAAAATCTTCTCGGGGGTTCCAACTGTTTTTCTTTTTAATATAAAACCTTCTCTGGGGCCCCAAATGTATTTTTTAAATGTGAAACCTTCTCAGGGGTCCTAACTGTTTTTTTTTTTTCAAAATGTGAAACCTTCTCGGAAGCGCGAAACGTTTCTTTTTTAAAAATGTAAAACCTTCTCGGGGGTCCCAACGGTCTCTTTTAACAATGTAAAACCTTCTCAGGGGCCCCAAATGTATTTTTTTAAGAATGTGAAACCTTCTCGGATGTCCCAGTTGTCTTTTTTGAAAAAAGTAAAATCTTCTCGCGGGTTCCGACTGTTTTTTTTTAATATAAAACCTTCTCTGGGGCCTCAAATGTATTTTTTAATATGAAACCTTCTCAGGGGTCCTAACTGTTTCTTTTCAAAATGTAAAACCTTCTCGGGAGCGCGAAACGTTTCTTTTTAAAAATGTAAAACCTTCTCGGGGGTCCCAACGGTCTCTTTTGACAATATAAAACCTTCTCAGGGGCCCCAAATGTATTTTTTTAAGAATGTGAAATCTTCTCGGGGGTTCCAGTTGTCTTTTTTTAAAAAAGTAAAATCTTCTCGGGGGTCCTAACTGTTTTTTTTTTCAAAATGTAAAACCTTCTCGGGAGCGCGAAACGTTTCTTTTTAAAAATGTAAAACCTTCTCGAGGGTCCCAACGGTCTCTTTTAACAATGTAAAACCTTCTCAGGGTCCCCAAATGTATTTTTTTAAAAAAGTAAAATCTTCTCTGGGGTTCCAACTGTTTTTTTTTTATAATATAAAATATTCTCTGGGGCCCCAAATGTATTTTTTTAAGATGAAACCTTCTCAGGAGTCCTAAACGTTTCTTTTTTAAAAATGTAAAACCTTCTCGGAGGTCCCAAAGGTCTCTTTTAACAATGTAAAACCTTCTCAAGGGCCCCAAAATGTATTTTTTTTAGAATGTGAAACCTTCTCGGGGGTCCCAGTTGTCTTTTTTTAAGAAAGTAAAATCTTCTCGGGGGTTCCAACTGTTTTTTTTTTTTTTGATATAAAACCTTCTCTGGGGCCCCAAATGTATTTTTTTAATGTGAAACCTTCTCAGGAGTCCTAACTGTTTTTTTTTCAAAATGTAAAACCTTCTCGGAAAGGCGAAACGTTTCTTTTTTAAAAATGTAAAACCTTCTCGGAGGTCCCAACGGTCTCTTTTAACAATGTAAAACCTTCTCATGGGCCCCAAATGTATTTTTTGAAGAATGTGAAATCTTCTCGGGGGTCCCAGTTGTCTTTTTTAAAATAGTAAAATCTTCTCGGGGGTTCCAACTGTTTTTTTTTTTTTTAATGTAAAACCTTCTCTGCGGCCCCATATGTATTTTTTTAAAATGAAACCTTCCCAGGGGTCCTTACTGTTTTTTTTTTTTTCAAAATGTAAAACCTTCTCGGGAGCGAGAAACGTTTCTTTTTTAAAAATGTAAAACCTTCTCGGGGGTCCAAACGGTCTCTTTTAACAATGTAAAACCTTCTTCGGGGCCCCAAATGTATTTTTTTAAGAATGTCAAACCTTCTCAGGGGTCCCAGTTGTCTTTTTTAAAAAAGTAAAATCTTCTCGGGGGTTCCAACTGTTTTTTTTTTATACAAAACCTTCTCTGGGGCCCCAAATGTATTTTTTTAAGATGAAACCTTCTCAGGGGTCCTAACTGTTTTTTTTTCGAAATGTAAAACCTTCTTAGGAGCACGAAACGTTTCTTTTTTAAAAATGTAAAACCTTCTCGGGGATCCCAACGGTCTCTTTTAACAATGTAAAACCTTCTCAGGGGCCCCAAATGTATTTTTTTAAGAATGTGAAACCTTCTCGAGCGTCCCAGTTGTCTTTTTTAAAAAAGTAAAACCTTCTTGGGGGCGTGAAATGTTTTTTTTAGAACGTGAAACCTTCTCGAGGATCCCAACTGCTTTTTTTAAAAACGTAAAGCCTTCTCGGGGGCTCCAAGCGTCTTTTTTTAATGTGAAAACTTCTCGGGGGTCCCAACTGTCTATTTTAAATACGTAAAACCTTCTCGGGGACTTCTAGCGTCTTTTTTTAATGTAAAATCTTTCGGGGTCTCAACGGTCTCTTTTAACAATGTAAAACGTTCTCAGGGGCAAATGTATTTTTTTTTTAATGCAAAACCTTCTCGGGGGCGCCAAATATTTTTTTTTTAATGTGAAACCTTCTCGGGGGTCCCAAATTATCCTTGACAAAAATGTAAAACCTTCTCGGGGGCTCCAAGTGTCTTTTTTTAAGAATTTTAAATGTTCTTGGGACTCCCAACTGTCTTTTTTTAAGAAGATGAAACCTTTTTTTCTATTACATTGTGACTAGTACCTTCTAGATTGTTATCACGAAGAATAAAATTCCACAAAATCAAATTTTATAATTTTTGAGAGAAGTAGTATTTTTTGGTCTGTAGAAGGGAAGGAAGTTCTGTCGAAATAACTTTCGACCAATTTTTTAAATACGGATGTTGGCATTGCAGCTATTTGACAGTTATTTGACCGTAAATGTCAAACTGATTAATAGCAACAAGGAATGCGTCAGTGTTGCCAACTAACCATTTTAGCATTGAATTTCACTACTTTTTTCCAGCACCATATAGTGCATCTGCTTATTTTAACAAAATCTTGCCACCACATTTTCGTAAATCCTGGACCCCCTCTTCGTCTCTTGCATCCTGAACCCCCAAACAGCCGACATTTCGTCCCCACACATTCCCGCCCCCTGCACCGCCGCCGCCGCCCCACTTGCACTTTCCGTTTGGCCGCAGCGACTCGCAAAGACACTCTTAGGTATTTTAATAAAAGTAGCTGCAGTGAAGCGAGTATTAAAATAGCAGCGACCGCTCACGAAATAGAATTTTGGCACAGACTCCCGGGACTCCTCTCAGTCGGTGTTCAGCGTTCCCGAAATGAGCGGCCCCTTCAAACGGCGGCCTTCCCTTAAGGCGCTCCCCAACGTGGGGTTGGTCAAGGCGGCCAACATCCAGCGCAGGCAGTCGGCCGTCAACCTAAAGCCCGTTAGTATTTCCCAGCAGGAGGTGCCATGGGACGTCCTGGACAGGTGCTTGCTGCCGGTGGTGTTCTGCCACGCCGCCGCCATCGTCATCAGTACCATGCTCAACACCCTCCACATATCGCAGGTGTCCACCTTGACGCTGTTCATCTTCTTCGCCATCACGACGATAGCGGCGGTTCTGTTCTACCACAATCTTAAGGTAAACAGGGGGCCGGCAATTAACCCAAATTCTTATATAGCTTCCTTGCCTAAAATTAATGTGAAACGTGAGCTTATTAATAATGTCCGGGGGCTTTTTTAAGCCCGGGATAATTATCGCGGATAAGCAAAGGTGGAGTCGTGGAGGTCAGTGACGGCGCGGGCCGGACGGGGCTGGAGAGGGTCTTGGGCATGTGGTAATAACGAGGAGAGGGTAATGATTTAGAGACATGTGAGACGCTTAACCCAGATATGGGTTTATAAGTAAAAGGATGGGATAAGGTGGCGCCACTTACAACGAAACACGAAAAAAATGTTTTGTTCTGCAGGTGCAAATTTTTAAAAAAATTGGAAATTGTATAAGAAAGTTTCACAATTTATCTTAGAAATTACCGAACAGATGGCACCGAAATGTTGCACATGCTTCGAAGTCGTCATAAATCTCCAACCGAAATTTGTCTATCCATCCCCACCGACACTTATATGACGTCAATTCGAAACTTTGCCAAGTGAATCTTTTTTAAAAATTGATTTCATCCATCTATATTTTTGTTACATAATTTGTTTATTTTTTAATTTTATGAAAGAAATACTCCGTGCACTCGAGTTTTCACCCTTGGCATCCAGAATTTTGGAAAAAATCCAGCAAACGTTTTAAGGTTATCGTAAGCATGGTAATTCGTTAATCAAAATTTATCCGTTTATCCCCTCCCAAAAAATTGATGAAGTCATGTCAAAATTATGTAATGGATAAACAGACGTCTAGCACACTTCTTTACATTTACTTTAACATTACACACATATCTTTATTTTAACTTACAACGGTTTTCATAAAAATAAAATTAGCAAAATAAACGTATAATTTTTCGAAAAATCTGGATTTATTTTTTGATATCACAATTTTTCGTTGTTTCTGTTTTCGTAATTTTTCGTTCCTGCAACTTTATTCTTTCAATTCTTCAATTTCACGACTTCCAAATTTTTCAGTTTTTCGTTTCTTGATTTTTATTTTTAATTTTACCCCATTTTGTAATTTTCATTGCTTCGATTTTATATCACAATTATTTATTTACTCATTTCCTTTATTTTTCAATTTGTTTTTTTTTTCGATTTACTAATTTTTCGTTTATTCAATTCTTCAAACTTTCAATCCTTGATTTTGCAATTCCTCAATTTTCCTATTTTTCAATTTTTCAATTTCGCAATTTTTGTATTTCCATGTTTATGTTTCCATAATTTTTTGTTTTTGCCACTTTAATTTTTTCAATTCTTCAATTTCGCCAAATTTTTCAGTTTTTCGTTTCTTCAGTTTTTCAATTTTGCCATTTTCGATTTTAGAGTTTTTCATTTTTCGATATTTCAGTTCCTCATGTTTTAATTTTTCGTTTTCTCAGTTTTTCAAGTTCTTGATTTTTATTTTTTTATTTTTATTTTCTCGTTTTTATATCACAATGTTTTGTTCTTTCATTTTCTTTCATTTTCCAGTTTTCCCATTTTTTCATGTTTATGTTTGTATAATCTTTGGTTTTTGCACCCTTAATTTTTTAATCTTTCAATTTTTCGACTTCCAAATTTTTCAATTTTTTAATTTTACAATTTATCGGATATTACAGTATTTTCATTTTTTGATATCTCACTTTCGTATTTTTTAATTTTTAGATTTTTCAATTTTTCGTTTTCTCAACTTTTCAACTTCCTAATTTTTATTTTTTATTTTCCCCTATTTTTTAATTTTCATTTTGGCGGTTGTATATCACAATTTTTTATTTTTCCATTTCCTTTATTTTTTTCAATTTATAAATTATCTTTTATCAATTCTTCAACTTTTCAATCTTTGATTTTGAAATTCCTTAATTTTCCTATTTTTAAATTTTTCAATTTTGCAATTTTTGGATTTCTCGATTATTCAATTTTCCAGTTTCTTTAATTTTCAATTATATTTCAATCTTACAATATTTCGTTTTGTCTTGGATTTTACAGTTTTTTGGATCACCATTTTTTCGTTTTTTCATTTTCTTTCATTTTTCAGTTTTCACATTTTTCCATGTTTCTGTTTTCATAATTTTTAGTTTTTTTGGAATTTCAATGTTTTCAGTTCTTCAATTTCTCGACTTTCAAATTTTTCAATTTTTCAATTTTGCAATTTTCGATATTACAGTTTTTCATTTTTCGATACCTCAGTTTCTCATTTTTAATTTTTTGAGTTTTCAATTTTTCGTTTTCTGTTTTCTCAGTTTTTCAAGCTCTTGAATTTTATTTTTCATTTTCCAGATTTTTTAATTTTTTGAAAAATCATTTTGTCAATTTTATGTCACAATGTTTTATTTTAATTTCCTTTATTTTTCCTTTATTTTATTTTATAGTTTTTTGTTTATTGAACTTTTCAATCTTTGAGTTTGTAATTCCCCAATTTTCAAATTTTTAAATTTTAACTTCGCAATTTTTGGATTTCGATTTTAAAATTTCTTTAATTTTCAATATTTCAATCTTACAGTATTTCTTTTTTCGATTTTGTAATTTTGCGATTTTTGAGTTTCCATTTTTAATCTTCCGATTTTTCAATTTTTCGTTTCTGCAATTTTTCAGTTTCATGATTTTCAATTTTTAAATTTTTTGAAATTTTCATTTTATACTTCCTTCTCTTTTGACTTTTCAATTTTACAATTTTGCATTTTTTCCATTTTTTTGATTCAAAAAGTTAAAAAATCAAAAAACTAAAGAAACGAAAACTCCAAATATTGGAAAACTTAAAACCTGGAAAATTAAAAATCGAAAGTCATTAATTAATCGAAAATTTGGAAAACCCAAAAATTGTAAAATCTTGTAAATCTTCAATTTTTCAAGTTCTTGATTCCCAGTTTTTAATTTTTGAAAGTTTCAATTTTCGTTTTTCCGTTTTTGATTTTTCAGTTTTACAATTTTACCATTTGAGAAGTTGAAAAATCAAAAACTGAAAAACTGAAAACAACGAAAAATTACAAAACCGAAAAACTGGAAAACCAAAAAATCGAAGAAACTAAAATTTAAAACATTGGTACACTAAAAAATAGAAAACAAATCAATGAATAGGAAAATTGGAAAGAAGAAAAACCGCGAAAGCGGAAAATTGGAAAACCCAAAAACAACAAAATCGAAAAATTGTAGAATAGTCAAAATTTCAAATTCCAAAAACTGTCACTTTGAAAGATCGAAAAATTGAAAAATGAAACATCGAGAAATTGAAAAATTAAAAATCGACAAATTGAAAAATGGAATAAATGAAAAAGTTCTAAATTCCAATAATTGAAAAATGGAAGAATTTTAAAATCCTACGAAAAATTGAAATTTTTATATTGTATTATATTTATATTTTATAAATCAAAAAATTGAAAAATCCAAAATTTATAAAATTTCATAGTGAAAAAAGAAAAATTATAACATCAGAACATTAAAACCCAAAAAATTGAAAAAACTAAAAAGACCACCTAAACCGAAACGAAAAATTGCGAATCGAAAAATTGAAAAATTCAAAAATTGAAAAATTTTACCTTGGAAAAAGAGAAATTGAAAAAATAAAGCAAATAAACCATTGAAACGAAAAATTGCAAACTAAAAAACTAAAAAAGTGAAAATCTAAAAAATTAGTGTTTCAGATTTAAAATGAAAACTAGAAAATTTGCAAATCGAAAAAATGAAAATTCCAAAAATTGAAAAATTTCATTAAAAAAATTGAAAAATTGAAAATAAAAAAACGAAATGAAAAATTGCAAACCAAAAACTGAAAAAGTGACAATTCTAAAAATTATTATTGCATATTTAAAATGAAAGCTAGAAAAATTACAAATCGAAAAATTGAAAAATCCAAAAATTGATTATTTTCAGATTGAAACCAAAAAATAAAATCAGAACATTGGAAAGCCAAAACTTGAATAAATAAAGAAAATAAAAAACCGAAACAAAAAATTGAAATCGAAAAACTGAAGACAAGGAAAATTGAAAAAACGAAAAATTAAAAAAATAAAAATTGAGAGCCCGTGAAAATGCAAATGGAAAATTGCAACATCTATAAAGTGAAACATCCGAAATTTGGAAAATCGAGAACCTTAAAAATTTTAAAATGAAAACTCAAAAAATCGCAAAAATCAAAAAACTGAAGAAACGAAAAGTTGAAAACTTGAAATTGGAAAAACAAAAAATTATAAAATCGACACATTGAAAAATCGAATAATTAAAAAATAAAGAAAATAAAAAACCGAAACGAAAAATTGCAAATCGATAAACTGCAAAATTCAAAAATTGAAAAATTTCACATTAGAACAAGGAAAATTGAAAAAATATAGAAAATGATTAACTAGAACGAAAAATTGTAAACCAAAAACGGAAAAAGTGAAAATTTTAAAAATTATAACAGAAATTTTAAATTGAAAAATTGCAAATCGAAAAACTGAAAAATCGAAAAATTGGATAATTTCAGACTGAAAGAAAATTATAAAATCAGGAACATTGAAAAACCACAAATTGAATAAATAAAGAAAAATAAAAATCCGAAATGAAAAATTGAAAAATCGCTAAATTAAAAAATTAAAAGTTTCAAAATCTCAAAAATAAGAAAAATAAAAAACCGAAACAAAAAATTGCAAATCGATACATTGAAAAATTGAAAAATTTCACGTTGTAAAATTCAAAAATTGAAAAATTTCATTAAAAAATTTGAAAAATTGAAAATAAAAAAACTAAATGAAAAATTGCAAACCAAAAACTGAAAAAGTGACAATTCTAAAAATTATTATTGCATATTTAAAATGAAAGCTAGAAAAATTACAAATCGAAAAATTGAAAAATCCAAAAATTGATTATTTTCAGATTGAAAAAAATGTATAAAAAGACAAGGAAAATTGAAAAAACGAAAAATTAAAAAATTAAAAATTGAGAGCCCGTGAAACTGCAAATGGAAAACCACAAAGTCTAGAAAGCGAAACATCCGAAAGTTGGAAAATCGAGAAACTTAAAAATTTTTAAATG